ATAATGAAAACGAATATTACAAATGACGATTGGCTTTTTGCGATGCACGACGAACGTATCAAAAATATCATCGAAAAGGTAAACGTTGACGACTCTTCAGTGAAGGAGTACAACGTCGAGAAAGACAGGTTGTATCGTATCGTCCACAAAAAGAAACTTTGGGTTGTTCCTAACGCACTTCGATGGCGCGTGGTTTATGACAGCCATGACAAGGCCGGACATCTAGGTGTTGATAAGACGATCGATCGTATCCAAAACTTCCTTTGGTTCCCACGAATGTGAAATTTTGTAAAGGCATGCATCAAATCTTGCGTCGATTGTGCCTGCAACAAAATCCCCGACAGGAAAGAAAGAAGGATGACATGGAGCCCATTCCATTTAAAACAATCCATTTAGATCATCTTGGTCCTTTTCCGAAAAGTTCCCGTAGGAACGAGCACATATTGGTCTTGGTTAATTCGTTCACCAAATTTACGATAATTCGCGCTGTCAAGAGTACTGCGACTAAACACGTGCTAGCAGTCCTTGACGAAGTAATCAGCTACATTGGAGTCCCTCAACGCTTCGTAAGGGATCGTGGAACATGGTTCACATCCAAAGAATTTGCTAGATACTGTAAAGACTACGACATTAAGCATATTCAAAACGCTGTTCGCACGCCACGAGCGAATGATCACGCCGAACGAACTAACAGAACTTTGTTAAGCATGCTCCGAACGACGACGCAATCAGAGAAGAAATGGGACGACAAACTACGTGATATCCAATGGGTTATCAACACAACGCGCAACCAAACGACAGGTCAAACCCCATATGAGTTGGTGTATTCATTCAAGCCGAGCGATATACTTAAAAACAAACTAACAACGATTCTACACGACGGTAACTCACAAGACGTTGATATCAGTGATCTACGACACACCGCCGCGGATCGAGTTACGCAACAACAAGAGAAGGCCAAAATACGTTTCGACCAAAAACATACTGCGCCAACGCAATACAAAGTCGGTGACTTGGTCTTAGCCGAGAACGAACCAGCCAGCACGGGCGAATCACGAAAGTTGGAGCCACGTTACAAAGGCACCTTCGTTATTAGCAAAGCCCTTGATCGAGATCGATACGTCATAACTGATCTTCCAGACTCTTCACGCAAACAACGTCATTACACGTCTATATACGCTTCAAATAAGCTTCGACCGTGGTGCAATCTGCCAGCTCTCGACGAACAAATTAACGAGGGTGGCATAAGTACCGATGACGAAGACAATTTATCCACTTATATTGATTTAGCAGTGGCCCAATCTCCCCGGGATCAGCCTGGTTTAGATGGTCACACTAGGTTGCTTCTGGTGGGAAGTTGGGTAGGAGCCTCTGTGACGACCTAACGGAAAGCGTTCCCACGACAGTCGGGTACTTTGCGTTTTTGTGTTTGTGGTTGAGAAAAATTTTTTTTTTTTTTACTATTTCTGAAGCTTAGTTACACTCAAGTTTTGATTGTTGGTAGGTACTTCAAAATTCTATTATTTTCAACTTTAAAGCACTTGACTCTAGTTGCTATTCATGTCTACATTTTCTTTTCAGCGTCGTTGCCCATCGGCAACCCAATTGAGGTTGCGTGGCTAACCATTATCGACCCATAAGCTATTGATGAAAATTTGCAATACTTTTGAAAATTCCCAACTGATAAAACGTTGCTAGAAATTCACACAGAACGTGATACTTTAATAATTCACGCAACGCTGCAGTTGTGATTGCATCTCGAATAAGCCCCTACAACTGCAACTGCTGCTACCACTCTAATAATAAATATTTTTCAAACCGGTTCAAATATTAAACTATTGAAAATGTAACGAAATTCGCATACAATTTTCTTTATGCTGGAAATTTAAAGGACTGTCGAAAAAAGCTACAAAAAGGAAGACTACTCACCTGCACTCTCAGAGGATGTATCATTAAGAGTGGCAATATGTACGACCTTGTGGGCAGCACTTCCGACAGAGACATTCCCATTTTGGTAACAGCTTGACACAGAAATGCTGCCAAGTAACGATGAAGTGGAAAATGAAAGGAAGCTTGCATCATTTCGTCCTGTTTAAAAAATAGATATGTAGCAATATCAAACTAATAATTGGTCTTAAGTATGTATTGAAAAAGCATGATTTAGAACTACAGCGCGGTATATATGTATATCAAAAATTGCTTATTTGTTTACCAGCGGTGTTCTGCTGTGCATTGACCAAAAATAATATTAATAGTACAAACCGGCGATAGTTTTGGTTCCAAAAAGTAAATGGCATCCAACCATTCATGCAGAGTATTAACGCAATACGTAATTATCTTCTTGGCTAAATGAGCATGAGTGCCGTCCTGCAGATGCGATATTATGGACCACATGGGATAAGCGCTTGCCTCCAACTCACACGAAAAGGCGGCGTAATAAGAATTAGGTTCGAACTCCACATGGGATGTTGTCTCTCGCACATTTACATTCATGCCTTGCAGCATTGAAAGAAACTGAAACCACATATCGATCAAATTGTCATCACGCAAAAATACTAGGGCCACTGATTCATGTGAGAGTACATTGTTAAAGTCAGACACTAAAGGCCAGTAGCAATGATCCTTCATCACTTGGCGTGTACAATCAATTACGAAATGGAAATTCTTGTTCGGGTCTATAGAGAAGAACTTACAGTTATTATAACTATCTGCATTTTGAATCGTACGCACTTACCATGCAATGTATTTTGTATGAGTATCTTTGACATCATTAGCTTAAGACTGATTATCATTACATGCAGTAAGGACAGTTCTTTAACCATCTTCAAAGCTAAGCTTTCATTGGAAAACAGTTGGACGCTCATGTGCACAACTCGGTTACTAAGTGTATCTGGATCGCGTGACATTTCCAATACGGACGGTATGCGGCTATAGTGCATCACGAAAGTACGAGTAAGATGCTCCTAGATATTTGAGAAAAATAAATTCTTAATTTTAGACTTTGTTCCATGTAAAAACCCTATTAAATCCAATAACTCATCAGCAAAAAATATTTTCAGTTTATGCTCGAATTTTAAAATCTTATTAAAAAGTTTAAACTGTTAGTGCAATTTTGTTGTATTGATCTAATTTTCGCAGAGTTCGAAATTAAATGAAATCTTTAAATTAAAATCAATTAAATTTGTCGCTGTATAGTGTGTAAGAAAATGTACAATTTCTAGATTATTTAATAAATAAATAAATATGCACATATGTATGTATACAAAACACATTTTTTTTATTACCTTATAATCTTGATCGGGCAGCATGTTAAGCAAAA